CTAGAAAGACACGCACTGACACCACCCTCACACCACTGCTGCTGCTGCTGCCATTGTTACCGCTGGTGCCACTCGTGCTGGTGCTGCTGACAGTGCTGCTGCTGCTTGTGGCCCTACTGCTACCACTGCTGCCGCTGTTGCCGCTGCTGGGAGGAGGGTGGGGCAGCAGGGAGCGGCGAGTGAGAAGCTTCTTTTCCGCGTCTCCTCCAAGCGCCTGGATGCTGGCGTGAGGGGGCGTGGGCAGGAGAGGCGGCTGCTGCAGCGGGTGCTTCACCTGCTGCTGCTGCTTCTGCTGCTGATGCTTCAAAGCAGGAGCCACTGGCGCTACTCCACCTCCTACCGCTCTTTTCCCAGGTGCCCCAGGCCCTAAGATACCCTTCTCATACCCACCCTTATCAGGCACATGTGTCAGTGTCACCCCATGCGCCGCTGCTCCTTGCACGGAGGCAGTGAGGGGAGGGAACGCCATCTCGGCTGTGTTCACTGCTGCTGCCTGCCTGCCTGCCCCCGCTGCTATGGCTGCCACACGGGCGAAAGAGGTGGGCGGCTGCATCTCACGACCACGTACCCCTGCCATCGCCACTGCACCTGTACCTGCCGCTGCCTTTGCCCCTGCTCCTGCTCCTGCACCTGCCCCTGCCCCTGCCCCCACCTCCTCCTTCCCCCCGTCCTCTGCCCGTGCACCCACCTCCCCCTCTGTTTCCTGCTGCACGCCCTGCCCTCCCTGCCCCTGCACGCCCTGCCCTCCCTGCCCCTGCTGCCACTCCCTTTCTGCAACCACCATCTTAGCCCCCTCTTCTAGTGCAGCAATAACGCCAGCATCCCCTACACTGTATCGAGCCATGCAATAGCGAGTCGCGGCCACCGCCCCACTCCCACCTCCCAACCCCTTCTCCGCAGCAGCTCCCCCAACCTCTGACACTCTACATGCCTCCCCTTCACCCCTTCCCTCTCCTTCCTCTCCTTCCTCTCCTCCCTCTCCTCTCTTTCCTCCCTCTCCTCCCTCTCCTCCCTCTCCTCCCTCTCCTCCCTCTCCTCCCTCTCCTCCCTCTCCTCCCTCCCCTCCCTCTCCTCTGCTGTTCTCTGATTCAACTCTCTGCACCCTGCCCAACTCCTTCACTCCCTCCATCTCCTCTGCTCCTCCTCCCTTCCTCACAGCCCACACCTCACCTATCACTCTCTCCCGCCCAACCTCCTCCCTCACCTCCCCCTCTTTCCCTCCACCTTCCCTTGCGCCTCCCTCCACACCCACAAACTCGCTTTTCTTCCCTGCCCCTATGCTGCTGCCCGCACCCCAGCCTCCCTCCTCCGCCACACAAATCGCCGGTAGCTGGACTGCCCAGGGCAGAAGAAAGTTTTGCCCGGGCAGAAACCCCTCCTGCTGGACCCCCTTGATTGGGTCGTACCAATTCCTACTGCCCAGAACAGTAACACCCCACTCAAATTCCAACCCCTCACCCCCCTTCCGCTCTCTCCTCTGCACGTCCTCTCTCCATTGAGATTCCGTCTCGCCAGCTTTAGAGCTTTGCCTGTTCGCCTTTGCTTCTCCCCAGGTCGTCCGGTGAAGAGGAATGGACCAGAGCAGGTCGCAGCAGGGAAGAGATGGGCGGAGGAGGGAGGAGAGCGAGAGCAGGGAGAGGGGTGTAGAGAGGAAGGGGTCACAGAGAAGAGCTTGGGTGCTGCCACAAACACACGCACACAGCAGCACTGCCCCGCTCTCATGCCTGCTCGCCCCACTCCCACACCTGCTCGCTCTGCTCTCGAAGAAAGCTGCACCAGTGTGTTCCCGTTGCCCTGCTTCCCCTGCTTCCCCTGCCCTCCTTGCCCTCCCATGCACCCCCTCCCTCGCTCCCACCCCCCACCTCTCATGCCCTAGCGGTAACCAGCAAGGCAATCCCAAGGCAGATACCACCTCACACTGCTGCCTCCCTCCTCCCACTCCTCCCACTCCTCCCACTCCCTTCCCCACCCAATGCTCATAACTCTGCCGTTTCAGCTGCTCAAAGCACTCCTCACGGGCAGGTCCTCGGGCAGTCTCAGTAAAAGTTTTCACAGCTGCCCGAACGTGCGCGTGGTGCACTCGGGCAGTGTAGAGCTGCCCGAGGCCCCTGCGGTAGGTGTGGAGGGCGCGGGTGAGGGCTGTGCGGCAGAGGAAGGAGGAGAAGCGGGCTGCAGGTGAGCTGGATGAATCTGATTGGTCGCTGTGCATGTGCGTGTTCGTGAGGGGAGGTTGGGATGGCGTGAGTAATGCTGCTGCTGTTGATGATTGGAGTGATGGTGTTGCCGATACACCCCCCCTTCCTTGTCCTCCTCCTCCTCGTCCTCCTCCTCTTCCTCCTCCTCCTCGTCCCCCTCCTCTTCCTCCTCCTCTTCCTCCTCCTCTTCCTCCTCCTCTTCCTGCCCCTCTTCCTCTTCCTTGCACCTCCCTCTTCCTACTGCTACCAGCACCTCTGCCAGCATAACCAAACGCGGTCAGCACCGCACCAAACTCCTTCGCATCTCCTTGAAACCCTCCGTCCACCCCCGCCACCCATTTCTGACCAGAACCCTGATCCCTTTTCCCTCTCCACTCACACACCACACGAGCCACCCTCTCACACCCTGCCTGCCACGTGTCAAAATCTGGTAGCTCCCATGGCAGCCCCCCTCCCCCCACTCCGCCTGCAGACCCCCCCACGCCTCCCCCCATGCGCCCTCTTGCCCCCCCTCCCCCCATTCCCCCTCTTGTCAGCCCCAGCGCCCCCGCCCACCCTCCCCTCCCCCTCATGCCCCCTCTCCCCACCCCTGCCCCTGCCCCCACACCTGCTGCCGCCCCTGTCACTGGCCCTGCTTCCGCATCCGCCCCTTCACTTCCTCCTTCTCCTGCTCCTTCTCCTTCTCCTCCTCCTCCTCCTCCTGTTGCTGCACCCGAACCAGCTGGCATAGCTGCGGCTGGAGGAAGGGACAATAAGGATGTACCGCTGCCGTCCCTGCCGCCGCTTCCCCCTCTGCCCCCAACACTGGCACAACCAACGCCTCTCCCTGGGAGAGGCTGAGCGGCCTTCCACCGGGCCTCCATCACCTCCCTCTGCCCCACAATAAAGTCCCAGATGGACCCAGCAGCTGACTCTACTAGCTCTGATGATGAGGAGGGTGCTGCTGAGAGGGCTGATGTGAGGGTGGTGGGTGCGTGGGATTGCGGTGTGGTGGAGAGCGGTGCCGGCGGGTTGAGAAGCACAGGGGAGAAGGGTGCGAGGGATGAGAAGGACGGGGAGAGGAGAGAGAAGGAGAGAGGAAGGCCCTGCTGCTGCTGCGATGCCACGCTCGCGTTCGAGTTCTTGCCGCCCGGTTCTCGTCCCATGCTGCCCAAACTGCCGCCCAAACTGCCGCCCGAACTGCCGCCCGGACTGCCGCCCGGACTGCCGCCCAGTTGAGCGGCCATGAGGGCGTCGGTAGCGGCAGAGAGGGCGCGTTGGTTGGAGAGAGCAGAGTGGTGGATGACGAGAGCACAGCGAGAGGGGTCCAGGACGAACAGAGGGGACGCTGCTCCTGCCACCGCTGCTGCTAGTGACGCATCTGCTGTTGATGCTGGTGCTGCTGGTGCAGCTATGGCTGGTGGTGGCGGTGCTGCTGCAGGTGCTGTGTCTGCTGCTGCTCCTTCCGCATCTTTCATCTGCCTCAGCGCTCCACTCTTCATCATGGCCGTCCATTGCCTCAGCCAACGGGGGCCTGCCACGTGTACGTCCACAGCAGAGGCCACCGGGCGGCAGCGCTTCAGCAGAGATCTGATCTGCGACTCCAGGGCGGATTGCATGCGTCGGCGGATGACCAACGGCGACATGACAGCTGGACTCCCATCACTGGCCGCACTGGTACCAACACTAGAAGCACCTACAGCACCAGCAGCACCAGAAGCACCAGCAGACCCTGCCAAAGCAGCAGCACCAGTGGCTGATCCTCCTCCTGCTGCTGCTGCAGCTGCCTCCCTGCCCCCAGCGCCACCATCCTTGCCCCCTCCCTCCCCACCTCCTGCGGCGTGAGTCACGGCGAGAGCGGCTTGAGCGGCGGCAAAGGGCACGGGGAAGGTGAAGAGCAGGCAGGGCGTGGTGAAGCCGGGCAGCAGCTGCAGCCTGCACGCCTCCTCCTGTGGGGTGTGCTCACTGCAATCACTGCTGCTGTCGGTGCTGGTGCTGCTGCTGGTGGTGGTGTTGCTGCTGCTGGTGGGAGCAGCATGAGTAGAGAGTTGGCGCAGGAGCATTTCTGGGGGGAGGGCTGGCAGCAGCGATGCGTTTATCCCAGGGTGGGCCGGCTCTTGCGCCGGCAGCTGCCGCTGCGTCTCGCTGTGCTGAGCGTGGGGCAGCAGCAGGCGCGGCAGCAGGGCGAGCTTGGCGTGCTGCAGGGTGCGGAAGGAGTGCAGCAGGTGCGGGGGGAAGAGGGGCGACAGACTCACACACACCACCACGTGGCACGCTGTGAATAAGAGCAGCCACGCCCTCTGCACCGCTGCCTCCATGTCACCCTCCTCTTCCCCTTCTTCCTCCTCCTCTTCCGCTTCCTCCTCTTCCTCTTCTTCCTCTTCTTCCTCTTCTTCCTCTTCCGCTTCCTCGTCCAACTCCTCTTCCTCTTCCCCGTCGTTTTCTTCTTCCTCCTCTTCTTCCTCCTCCCTCTCTTCCTCCTCTTCCTCCTCTTCCTCCTCTTCCTCCTCCTCCTCCTCCTCCTCCTCCTCCTCCTCCTCCTCCTCCTCCTCCTCCTCCTCCTCCTCCTCCTCCTCCTCCTCCTCCTCCTCCTCCTCCTCCTCCACCTCCTCCTCCTCCTCCTCCTCCTCCTCCTCCTCCTCCTCCTCCTCCTCCTCCTCCTCCTCCTCCTCCTCCTCCTCCTCCTCCCCTGTCCCATTCTCCCCGTCTACCTTTTCAGAACGACCGTCCCCTTCTTCCCTTTTCTCAGTTCCCTTCTCCCCCACCTCTTCCCCCACCTCCTCCTCCCCCACCTCTTCTCCCACCTCCTCCCCCACCTGTTCCCCCACCCCTTCCCCAGCGCCCACCTCACAATCTGCTCCCTCCTCCTTTCTTACCACTAAATCCCCAACCTCCCCTTCACTCTTACTCCCCTTCCCTTTCCCCTTACCATACTCTCCACCCCCCCTCGCTTTAGTCCCACTTTTAGCAGCACCCTTAGCAGCGCTTTTAGTCACACTTTTAGAAGCACCCTTAGCAGCGCTTTTAGTCACACTTTTACCAGCACTCCTAGCTGTTCGTTCACTCACACTCGTGCACAGCTTCACCAGCACCAGGTTCTGCTGCCGGTCATAAACGTGCTCCAGCATGCCACGTGGCAGCCCCAGTCGTCGCCACGTGGCAGCACCAAAAACATCCTCCTTGCCCTCACCACCACCACCACCACCAGCACCAGCAGCAGCCACATACCCGCTATTAGCCTCTCCAGCAAAATAGGAAGCGGACTCGGTAGAAGAGGGGGAGGAGAAGGCAGGGTACTGCAGCAGGTGGTTGAGCAGTGCTGTGAGCTGTGAGTCATTCGGGCCAAAGAACCCCACCACCAGCACCCCCTTGCGCTCGCTGCCGCTCGCACTGCCACTGCCACTGCCGCTGCCGCTGCCGCTGCCGCTGCCGCTGCCGCTGCCGCTGCCGCTGCCGCTGCCGCTGCCGCTGCCGCTACTGGTACGGCTGGCGCTGGTGGTGCTGCAGATGCGATGGAGACACACACGGGTTTAAGGTAGGTATACGGAGAAAGGGGGAGACACGGGTTTTAAGGTAGGAATACGGAGAAAGGGGGAGACACTGGTTTAAGGTAGGTATCCGAGTAGGCAATGTGAGACTACTCGGATGGAGCGAGAGCAAGAGAGCGAGGGAAACTGATGGAATGGAGATGAGATGACATCTTCTCGCCTACCCAGGATCTGACGTGGCGGCAGTCGATCGGCCGTGATCCACTCTGCGCTGGCCACGTGTCACTCCAGCCAATCCAGGAGTGCAGGTTGGCGCGCCGCTGGCGGAAGTAACTTCCGGAAAATTGGCGGACGCCGCCTCGCTGCGCGCCGATACCCCGCTCTGCTCCGCAACCCGCGGAAAACGTCCTCCGCTGCTTACCCTCTCTGCGCCGCCTTCAGCGGCGGAACCCTGAAATCCCCCCCCACCGGACCTCGGATAACCGCCACTTCCGATTCGGCTCCCGCCCGCCGATCTGGCAGAGTTGATTTCCACCGTTGCTTGTTGATAAGCCTGTTGGCCTGACGGCCGTTGAGACTGGTTCCTTGGCTGCTGCTGCGCCACCTGCGGGTGCCGAGAGCCACGCCCTGGACCGCCGCTGTCCGCGCTTTCTCTACCCCGACCGCGGCCAGCGGCGCCAGCGTCGCTGGCACGAGAATCGTCGGCGCCTCCCCCTCCTCTTCCATACCCGACCATGCGACTTGCCATCGGCCGACAATCGTTGCACCACAGGAAATCGCTGCTTAGGATAAAAAAACTATTTGTACAATTTGATACTAGCATAAAAGTTCACAATGTCAGTAGTCCAATGGTTAGGATATTTGCCTTCCAAGCAAAAGATCCGGGTTCGATTCCCGGCTCACGTAAGTGATGAAACCTAACCTCGTGTCCGTGTTGCTAAACTTTTCCTCTTTTACGTGGCTCCACTATGGGTTACATTCCTCCCTTGATGTTACGTATGAACTTGCAGAGTGCGCAGAATAACGAAAATCGAGAACGTTGAATTCTCAATGCCGATACAATGAAAGTGACGAGACCTAAATAGGAGAAATCCTAGCTAGGCGGGAAGGTCGGGCGAGGCTGGCTCGAAAGGGTTGCGATTGGCGCGGAGGCGACTCGGGAGTGGTTCGGTTGCGGAAATGTAGGCCGAACGTGAGGGTCGCGTGACCCTCGGGATGGACTCGCTAACGAGTGTTGCAGTAAGGAATTGTTGTCAAATTACAATTCTACATGCTAGGCTATAGTGGGGTACTCTGTACGGGGTACAACCCCAATTAGGGTTAGCTATACAATCCTGTACTGTCCTCATTCTAGTCATTCTTACGTTCCTACTTCTGACATGGTATTCAAAGCGGGTCCGTCCGTAGGACCGCTCCGTTAGGGCCCACCGATAGTTTCGACCTGCCCGATCTGCCCGTATTGCCCTGCCCTGCACGGCCTGCCCTGCCCGTCGAGCTGCCCGCACAGCTGCCTAGCGCGCGACCCGCACGCTGCCCTGCTAGCGGCCTGCTCGCGCTGCCTGCACGCGCGCTGCCTTAGGCCTACGCGCGCCCTGCCCGCACGCTGCCTGCGCTGCCCGCGCACTGCCTGCGCTGCCCGTGTGCTGCTGCTGCTGCCCGCGCGCTGCGTTTCCTGCCCGCGCGCTGCGTTTCCTGCCCGCGCGCTGCTGCTGCTGCCCACGCGCTGCGTTTCCTGCCCGCGCGCTGCCTGCCTTGCCCGCGCGCTGCCTGCACCGCCCGCGCCCTGCCCGCACTGCAGCTGCTGCTAAGTTGCTGCTGCTGCCAGCGCCGCACTTCCCCGCCGTGCCCGAGCCGCGCCGCACTGCCCGAGCCGCGCCGCACCGCCCGAGCCGCGCCGCACTGCCCGAGCCTCGCCGCCCTGCTGAGCCGCGCCGCCCTGCCGAGCCGCGCACGCTGCCTAGTTGCCTGGCATATCTGTTTTTGCTGCTGCACTGCTGCTTAAGCTACTGCTACGGCTGCTGCTACTGCTGCTACTGCTACTGCTGCTACTGTTGCTACTACTGCTGCTATTAACGATGGCTACACTCAATGTCCTTGCCTTTGACGCGGAGGGGCGCCCGATTAGGTTTGACTGCTGGCTCGAGGATCTCCAGCTGTACCTACAGAGCCAGGCTAGGGAGGACGTTTCTCTGTTAGAACACGTGTCCGGTACCTGCCTAGCCCCTGAGGATACAGCTGCGCGTGCTCTTCGTACTCAGTGGCTCACCCGCGATGCTGCCGCCTGCCTTTCTGTCCGCAATGCCCTCCCGCTTGAGGAACGAGTTCATTTCGGCCAGCTTAGTACGGCTAAGGACCTTTATGACGCTGTAGTTGCTCGTTATGTCACAATGTAAATTTTACTAAAACAGAAAGTACAAACAAGATATATATAAAACCTAACCCTAGTGCAAGTACAAAATAACACAAGGGAGAACACCTATACTAGAACTACACAAACTATAGAATTATAGTTTGACACACCCCCATAGTCTAGGTGACGGTAGTCCTGTAGAAACAACAAGAGCAATCAACGGTCACAAGACCAGTCCACAAGAACAAGACAAATCTCAGGGTGGAGCTCAAAGTCACCACACACTCCGAGAGCAAGCAAGGGGGCACAAGACCAGTCCACATGCCGGTATATAGCAAATATAAAGAGATGCAAGAGTACAAGACATGCAGGACAAGGCATCTCTACGTAAGCAAGTGAGGACGGGCAGGCACAAGGCCAAGCTGGGTGCAGAAACGCTGGTGGTCACAAGGCGGCAACGCCTTGGTGAAGATATCTGCCGTGTTGGCCTCAGAGACCACACGTCGAACGAGTGCCTGGCCACGCTGCTGCAACTCACGCAGAAGGAAGTAGCGAAGCTGGATGTGCTTCGCCTTCCCAACCAGTCGGGGCTCCTCGCACAACAGGATGGCAGACCTGTTGTCGGCGAACAAGACTGGGGGAGAGCGAGGCCGCTCACCAAGGTCGGTGAGGAGGAAAGACAGCCAGCGAAGCTCCTGGGCGGCCATGGCCGCAGTGTACACCTCTGCCTCACAGCTGGAACTAGAGACGGACGACGCCCGAGTCGACCTCCACGAAACAGCTCCGGTCCCAAGGCTGAAGCAGTAACCCTGTGTAGACCGCAGCGACTCTGCGTCGTCGGCCCACGACGAGTCCGAGAAACCTGTAAGTGTAACTGGCTGCTTCCCTCCAAGGACAAGTCCCATGCCTGATGTACTCGCCACATACGTCGCCACCCTCTTAGCAGCGTACCAGTGGGAAGGTCGGTGTCTCCCAGGCGCAACAAAGCGCGCAAGGACGCTAAGAGGGTAAGCTAGGTCAGGGCGAGTACAGGTCATCAGGTACATGAGACAACCCACCAGCTCAGGATATGGACCGCTGGACTCAAATGGCTCGTCCGAAGGTGGAGCCGTAAGCCCATGGTCCACAGCAAGAGGGGTGGGCTGTACCTTGGAGAACGGGAAGCGAAACCGCGTGAGGATCTGCTCGACCATATGCGACTGAGTCAGCGTAATGGTGCGAGCTGCCCTGTCCCTGGTGATCTGCAGGCCAAGGTAGTGCTGCAGCTCACCAAGGTCAGTGCAAGTGTGTCTCCTCTGCAGTTCCTCCTTCACGGAGGCCAGCGCGCGTCGGTCGGGAGTGGCGAACACCAGGTCGTCGACGTAGACCAGGACAAAGAACGGGGTCGAGCCACGGCGGACGAACAGTGACGGGTCGGCAGACGACGGAAAGAAGTCAAGCGCTGCAAGGGTCGAGCGAAGTGTGTCGTGCCACTCACGTGGAGCCTGACGCAGACCGTAGACTGGTCGACGCAGCTGCCACTGGGTCCCAGCAGGGAAAGAGCCAGTGAAGCCAGGCGGGCGATGCAGCCAGATCTGCTCGTGCAGACTCCCCTGAAGGAACGCGGTGGAAAAGTCCAAGGAGTGCAACTCGTAGTTGCGCTGGGCTGCAATATGCAGCAACACCCGAAGAGTACTCATCTTTGGGGTGGGAGCAAAGGTCTGGAAGAAGTCCACCCCCTCTCGCTGACTGAAGCCTCTCGCCACATAGCGCGCCTTGAACACTGGTGGTGATCCAGGCGGCCGCTTCACCTTGTAGAGCCATCGGCCACTGACGACGTTCGTCCCAGGTGGTGGGAATGCGTCGACGTAAGTGCCTGTGGACCTATAAGATGCCATCTCTGCCTCCTCAGCTGCTATCCAGTACGAGGCCCAAGGTCCCGAGACCGCCTCAGCGTGATTGCGAGGGATCGGGATGTCAAGAGCGTCTGGATCCCCCTCAGGGGCAAGCAGCATGGCGCAGAGATGAGGAACTGCGGCCGCAAGGAAACAAAGCTCAAACTGCCTCTCCTCTAGGACCTCCAGGGGAAAGACAGGAGCACCCCCAGAGGACGGAGAAAAAGCAGGGCCACTCACCAAGTGAGCGGCGTAGTCAAGGCGGTGGGAAGAGGCAAAGCCAGCGACAGTGGTAACAAGTGCTGAGACAGACGACAGAGGTGCAGTCGGGTGAGTGACCAACGCGGACAAAACACGGGAGACGACATGACGGGAGGCACGGAGGTAGTCGGACAACGGGTCGTGAAGCACAGTGAGGGATGACTCAGGAGGTTGTGGAAGGACTAGAGGAGGTGGAACACGAGAGCGGAGAACAAGGTGAAACGGGACGTCTGCACGGTAACGAGACCGACGGGGCTGTGGAGACACAGCACGACTGAGGGGAGGACGACGAGTCCACTGGGACGAGGAAAAGGGACTGGACGGGGGGAACAGGAGGGGACGGTAGGGGACCACGAACCAAGCGTGCAGGTGCTGGGTCGGGCAGGTCGCGCGGGCGCAGTCGCTACCGCTCCGCCTCCTCTGGCGTCTGCTGCGACGGTACCTGTCCCTGCTGCTGCTCCTGTGGCTCCTCCCCTGCCCTCTCTTGCTGCGGCTGCAGCTGCACCCGCTGCTGCGACCGGGACTCCTGCACGACCCTCTCCTGCTGCGGCTGCAGCTGCACCCGCTGCTGCGACCGGGACTCCTGCACGACCCTCTCCTGCTGTGGTCGTGACTCCTCCTCTACTCTCTCCTGCTGTGTCTGCAACTGCACCTGCTGCTGCGAACGGGACCCCTGCTCTACCGTCTCCTGGTGCGGCCGTGACTCCTCCTCCACTCTCTCCTACTGCGACTGCAACTGCACCCGCTGCTGCACTCGTGACTCCTCCTCTACTCTCTCCTGCTGCGGCTGCAACCGCACCTGCTGCTACTGTAACTCCTCCTCTACGCTCTCCTGCTGCTGCGACTCAGACTGCTGCTGCTGCTGCTGCTGCTGTGCCCTCTCAAACCGCTCACGCTCCTCCCTCTCCAACCGGAGGAGATGCTGCTCACGAGTAACGAAACGTACAGTGCGCGGTGTAGGCGCCACATTGCTAGTGCCTCCAGCTCCAGCACTCCCAGAACCAGCACCTCCACCACTGACACCCCCGGGGCCTCCAGTACCTCCCGAAGGAACACCCGGAGGCTCCACAACAACCGGCCGCAGAGAAGAACGAGGAGGGAACTGCGGGACGGACGAGAAGCCAGGGGGTGACGCGGGGCGAGGCCGCCGAGTCGAGGCTGCCATGTCCTCCACAGGAGTGACCTCCACGCCCACAGCCCCTGCACACCTAGAGCAGACACCACCAGCTCCTGCAGCCCCAGTACCCTCACCCTCCGCAACTG